AAAAAAAAAAAAAAAAAAAAAAAAAAAAAAAAAAAAAAAAAAAAAAAAAAAAAAAGTGTCCAAGACATTTTAATGTGACTGTTATTAAATCATTTGAAAAAAAAAAAAAGGTTTAAATTAATTTTAATAAAAAAAATTACCCCTGTGTGACTGATGTTAAAGAAACACCTACATGGTCATTGGGTCCTGTACTTTCCGAGGCTCATATAAGTCCATTGTATAGACATGTTGTCCTGCCCCCTGTCCAAACTGGGCAAATCCACCCCCCTCTCTTTTTCTATCTGAAGAGGGGGAAGAGTGTTTTTTGTGGAGGCGGTGAGGGCTGCTCAGCACAAAGCGCTCTGGCAACACTTCAAACTACAGCCGCCGTTTGGCAAGGCCTCAGTGAAATTCCTCTCCCAACAGAAGAAAGAGGTGGAGGCAGAAAATGGAGACGTTCATAAAACTTCCAGAGTGCAAGTTAAAATGCTGATGCATTACAGCTCATTTAATGGAAAAACAATCTATGTGTCTACGGATATCGAGCAAACAAAAAACATGCAAAGAGCCTTAAAGATAACCTCAGATATAAATTGATGTACACCCCCCTGTAAACATGTAATCTATAAAAAGGTAACTCTATAAGGGGCAACAGTCATGCAGCTTCAACAAATCAATTAAAAAGCACATCAACCATGAGATTAATGCATCGTATCAGGACTGCTGTCTGTCGGAGTTAATTAAATCCAACTGACTTGAATCAGCCAAGCTCAAGACATCCATTAAGATAAACACGCTCTCTGATCCGAGGCTCATATGGATCCGATTTAGAAAAAGGAGGTAGCTAACAAACCCATATGAGTGCACAAGTGCAGATTTCATCGCCTGCCCTCGTCCCCACACACATTCAGATAAGAGAACGGAAATCACCTCCACTCCTCCAAGGCTGATTCACTGATAATGAATCTTCAACTGTGATTTCACACAGACATAAGTGGCCTCCAGAGAAGTGGAAATGAATGGCAGGGGAGCAGAGAAGGCAAACTCTGACCCAGTTAAACACATTTACGTTCATAGGCATCTTATAACTGCACATAGTCAATATGGATTGTACTTCATAGATAGTACTTTAAAGATTAAAAATCTGCTAAATTTTCCTCACCTTCAGCCTCAGGCCATCCAAGATGTAGATGAGTTTGTTTCTTTATTGGAACTGATTTGGAGTAACTTAGTATTACATCACTTGTTCACCAATAGGCCCTCTGGGGTGAATGGGTGCCGTCAGAATGAGAGTCCAAAATACAAGTTCAGTCTATAACAGTGATCCTCAAATCTGGCTCGCGAGATCCACTTTCCTGCAGAGTTTAGCTCTACCCTAATCAAACACACCTGAGTTTGCTAATCAATGTCTTCAGGATCATTAGAAAATCACAGGTAGGTTTGTTTGATGATAGGGTTGGAGCTAAACTCTGCAGGAAAGTGGATCTCGCGAGCCAGATTTGAGTATCACTGGTCTATAATAACATTTCTTCCAGGTAAAAAAGTCCATGCCTTGTTCTCTCACATCAAAATCCACTGACATGTTTCTTTAGAACCGTTTTCACTTAAACAGTGCTTAATCTGTGCATATTTCTCTCCTGATTCAGACAAGATGTGTTTTTACACAAGAGTTTTTTTGTTTGTGTTTAACACCATGCCAGCTTCTGTGGCTATTTTCATGGCGAGAAAAACTTACAAATTATATTAGGTTTTTAAAATGTATTTTATTTTTCCATTACAGACAGCAATATTATGGATAGAGGACTCATATCTTAGCCAAAAGCAACGGCTTGAAGTTAAAAACCACCTTAGTGATTGATTTGTTACTACAAACACAGCATTCCTCTTCACAGGATGTTAATTAATGGAGTTGCGTAGATTACTGTTTTTTTAAGTTATATTTTGGGGCTTTTTATTCCTTTATCATTTAGACAAGAACAGTGGAGAGATGACAGGAAAGTATTGAGTAGAGAGAGGGGAGCGGGACCAGCCTAGTACCTCGAGATGGGAATCGAACTCGGGTCGTGAACGCAGTTGCGCTGTATGAAGTATTCTAATTTGTTGGTGGGTTTTTGTTAAATGTGAGCCAAAATCATCACAATTAAAAGAACCAAAGACTTAAACTACTTCAGTCTGTGTGCACTGAATTTATTTAATACACGAGTTTCACAATTTGAGTTGAATTACTGAAATAAATGAACTTTTCCACGACATTCTAATTTATTGAGATGCACCTGTATTTGTCGGCGCACTAACCACGAGGCTATCAGCGCCGACATGGATTACTGTTTTTATCAGTTGTTTGGACTCTCATTCTGATGGCACCCATTCACTGCCAAGGATCCATTGGTGAGCAAATTATGTAATGCTAATTTTCTCCAAATCTGTTCTGATGAAGAAACAAACTCATTTACATCAGCAAATTTTCATTTTCAGGTGAACTACTCCTTTAAAGGTCTTAACAGGGAAAGGGTGAAAAGGGGCAAACAATGCAAAAAAAAAAAAAGTCTATGAGTCATAATAGTTGCCTTTTATATTTAGGTATCACACAAACACAATGGAATAAAAGTCTTTTATTGATTAGCCATGTCATTATCCATGTTCCCAAAAGAAGCCGCACAGGCTAACAAACAATGACAATGCTTCAATAGAGAAGACTACCTCCAGATAGCATAGAAAAGATTTCTGTCTCTGTGTATACCTCATAAACCCCATCTACCCCCCACCCACCCCTGCTGCAACCACACCCTTTTTGGAACAATAGTGACATTGAAAACGGCTTCTCCTTACTCAACTTTAAGCATTTTGTAAGAATGCATATAATTTTTTTGTACTCCCAACAACCACTATTTTAACTGATCATATAAAAAGCTACACATTGTTACACTTTCAGTCAGATTACATAGGAACTGAGATTAGTGTTGTACACTAGCACGTGATAAAGATCCAGAAACCAATGAGGCAAGTCCACTACAACTTAACACTATAGAAGACATAAAAAAAAAAAGAAAAAGAAAAAATATGGAATACAAATTAAAATGGCAGAAACAAAAAAAAAAAAGATCAGGTTTAAAAACCAAGCTAGGGTCAGTACCATGAAAAGGCTGATTTAAGGGAAAAAAAACAACAAAAAAAAGGTTAAAATAGTTCCATCTTAAAAGATCCCTTTCATGTGCACTCATCAGCATCCGCGTCACAATCCCTCTTTCTGAAACACTAGCCCACCCTCTGGCAAACCTTCCACGACTCTTCAAATCACAATGCAGACTCATTCAACATACAGCTGTGGAGAGACAGAAGATCATTAATGTTCATTTAACTCAAACTTAAGCAGAATACAGTGAACACCAATTTTTGAAGCTCATCTTACCTTCAATACTTGTAGACCGTGAATGTTTAGAGGTCCGTGTCGAACCAGGCCAGCTGATTGGAGTCTGTAGGGGGCAGGCCATCCATCAGGTCCTGAGCGTGGCCCAAGTCGGGCAATCCTTCTACGGGGTACTCTGTTCCAGGATGGTGGCCTCCCATCTCATGCTCCAGCATGCCATCCATACCCAGACCATCCTGACCGTAGCCAGAGTGGAAAGAACGATAGCTGGGGTCTAAAAGGGATGAGAGATCGTGAGCCTTGTTTAAATAAATGTCTAAATGATAAATATATATATATATATATATAAATAAATAAATGCTGTCAAACAATTAAGCACATCCAAAATAAAAGTTTGTTTACATAATGCGTGTTCTGTGTATATTTATTATGTATATATAAATACACACACACACACGCACGCATGTATTTAAGAAAAATATGTTACGTTTATATATTAAATATATTTATATACGATATAAATTTTATGAATATAAATATATACAAATGTAAATATTTTCAAAATATATGCTGTAGGTGTGTTTTTATATATACACAAGTATACACAATACAAACACATACATACATAATGTAAACAAAAACGTTTATTTTGGATGCGATTAATCGTTTGACAGCACTAATGTGTGTGTGTACATACATTAGTGCTGTCAATATACACGCACACATTATATATTATAAATACACAGACAAATAAATTCCTCTTTATTTGAAATATTTATTCCATTTGAAACAATTAAACTATTTATTATGCATGTTATTTATTAAAGTGTGATTAAAATGAAACTATAACATCTGATAGTTAAATAAAATTAGTTTAAATAAACAAGAGCAAAAAAGTTAAAAACATTAAAAAAATTAAACATTTAAATAAAAATGTTTAAAACTTTACGCAAACATTTAAATTAATATATTAACAAATGTGATTAAATAGTTTTAAAATAAATGATTGAATGCTTGTATGAAATGAATAAAAACACAATTGAATTTATTTATAAATAAAATAAATAAAAATGTCTTACCATCTGGTCTGTATCCAAGAGGCTCTCCCTGAGCACCAATATCAAGGCCTAGGTCACCAGTCTAAGACAATACAAAAACATTTTTGGTTTATAAAAGTGGATTCATACAGCATTAATGGTCTTCATCTGAGAGCAGATCAATGTTTGTACCTCGTTCCAGGCCATGGGCTCCGTTCTGAAAAGAGAGCTGGTAAGTTCCACAGAAAGACGTTTTTTGTAGTCCTGAGGCTTATCCTCAGACATGCGGAACAGAACTGCTGCAGCGTATGTGGCTATATAGAGAGAAGTACACAAGAGAGAGTCAAGATTAATAGAAAGCTTCTGTGTCCTAGACCTCTTACACCCTGAAGCTGGTAATACAATCCACACCAAAGAAAGAAATTGGAAAGATTTGTCCACTGATATTAAGAGATTTTTTGTTATAATGCTGTATGGTATGTCAATAGGGGGCAGTCACTCACCCACTCCCTCGTTCCTGGAGTGCAGCAGCTCTGTGAGAGGAGCCGTGGCTCCTTCTGCCTCAATGGCCTCTGCTGCCTCCTTATCTTGAGCCAGCTCACACAAAACTCCTGCTGCTACCCGCTGGATGTTCTCAATAGGAGAATACAGCAGCTACAGAGCAAAAGAAACACTTTAAGAAACTCACAGGGTTTACGAGATCACAACGGCAGCTATCTTGCATGTAGAATGTGCAAACATAGGCAATCAGCAAGTTAGTCATACTTGTACGAATAAGGGGATAGTGTTGAGCCCCCTGATGACGATTCTGTTGTGTACGTCTCTGGCCAGGATGTGAAGTGCTCCAGTGCAGCCTTCCACAATCTCCTCCATACGAACTCCCTCCTGAATATTACAATCAGACAATTAGTGTCACTTAAATTTTCCTCAAGTACAGAAAACGCCTACAAAATCCAAACTTAACTCACCACAAACTGTTGCTGTGTGCCGCCCATTGAAGTGCGCCTTTGGGTGTCCTGGTGTGCCCTCACCAGCAACTGGACCAACCGGGGAATCGCACCCTGCTCTCGGAGTGGTGCGTGATTGGCTGGGCATAGCGCCAGATTACGGATCAGCCCGACTGTGGCCTAGAAGGATGTGGGAAGACTTGTTAAAATGTGCAATATTTCAAAAGATCATACACAGAAAAACTGGCCACATACCTTAATTAACGGCCAGTGTGAGGGTGGGTGCAGCAGTTTGACCACTACAGGCAGGCCGTAATGAAGACGCACTGCATTCTGGGCCATCTCAGCATCTTGGTGTCTGGATGTTAGATGGCGTAGCGCACAAACAGCAGGTTCGGTGATGTCCTCTCTGTCACCAGCTCTGAGAACAGTACGGACCAGGGCCTCGATTCCACCCACTTGGCAAACCATCATCTTGTTCTTGTAGTTGTTACACGTGAGGTTAGATAGTATGCCAGCAGCGCAGGTGACCACATTGATGTCATCTGAAGCAAGAAGCTGAACCAGAGTGCCAAGAAGTCCTTCCATCCCTTCCTACAAGGCAAAACGTTACTTTAATAAAAGTTGTTCAAATATTACTAACATCAAACCGAACTGTTAATGGTTTGCATGAATTTACCTGCTTGGTGGCAGCATCTGACAAGTTTCTGAGAGTCCACAGGCAGTTTTGAACCAGACGCTGACTGGGATCTGTCAAGTGAAGACCAAGAGCTTGCATACCACCTAAAACGCACATACAGTAGATGCATAAGATGAGACCCTGACATAACATACATGAACGCATACTTATTTGGCACAAGCAGAAATGAACGTACCAGCCTCAACAATGGCGGGTTTGTTGCTGGAGCAGACAGACAACACCTTTAGCACACGACTTGTGGTCCAGAGCAGTTTCTCATAGGTGTATGTTCTCATGATGTTGACCAGAGCTTGAGGTCCTCCACTGGCCAGGATGATCAACTGTGGTGGCAAGAGTTGAGACAAATTAACATGAGTACATCTAGTACATTCTTACCCCCAGTTAGCAAGACCAATTCATGCAATGTATGTACCTTGCTCTCCTGGTTGCCGTATGCCAGGATCTGTAAGCAGTCTGTGGTGATGGCAAGGAATTTGACATTGGTTTTGTTGAGCAGGGCCACCATCTTCTGAAGTCCTCCAGCAAGACGGACAGCCATTTTAGCACCTTCCTGATGAAGCAGGAGGTTGTGAAGGGTGGTGATGGCATAGAACAGCACACTATCAACGGGGGACCTGGAAAACCGATCATGTAATATCCATTTAGTGGAGAACTGGTACAAGTAGGACAGCACATGGAAGGATTAAACCTTCAGCATCATGTTCAAATTTAGTAATTCAAGACTAAAGCATCCGTGCACCAGATTTCCTGCTTTGGTGCTCTTACCCGAGCATCTTGACGAGGGCAGGAATTCCTCCTGACTTAAAGATAGCGAGGAGGCCCTCTCTGTGATGGGACAGGTTGTGTAAGGTGCCGGCAGTACAACGGGCAGTCTCTACATCATTGGTGTTCTGCATGGTCCTCACGATTGCCGACACCATCTGGGGAGAGCGCATGATGGCGTGGCGAGAGGCCTCTTTCTTGGAGAGCTGGTGCACCATCACTGCGGCTTTGTTCACCACCACCTGGACAGGAAGAGTGAATAAGGGGGAAGTGAGATTTGAACTTGCTTGGCTACTTGTCATTTACCAGTGTAACTGCAGAGAAAATCTGAGAGACTAATTTGCTTGTCAGATGCAGAAATTCTTTCAAGGGTCACTTCAAACTAGTGATTTTCTCTACCAATCTCAGATCTGCCAACAGGAAACCACTACCTTATGCAATTGACAACATCCATAAACAAAACTTAAGGTGATTCAGACAGAACTGTCATTGCTTCAAACTTTAAGTCACTATATGGCTAAAAATAATCTTAATGAAGGCTCTTTTTGCTAAAAGATCTTCCATTTTTAGCTTCAGCTGCAAATAAATGTTTCCTGAAGCAGGAAAGCGTGTCTTGTCAAAGGAAATCGCAATTTTGATGGCTTAACAAGCATGAAGTACGGGACGTTTCTAACCTGGTCCTCATCGTTGAGAAGTTTGGTGAGCTCAGGGATTGCTCTGGTGGCCAGTTCAGCATCATCCTGGTAGTTAATGAGATTGACAACGGCATGTTTGAGCATTTGGGAAGGCTCGGCCAGCCGCTGCACATTGGTGGGGTGGGAGGAGTCAAACTGGGTAGAAATAATCTGCATGCCCTCATCGAGAGTCTCCGGAAACATGGCAGCACGGACACGCTGTGCACGGGTCATGGCATACTGCCCATCCAGGTCTAAGAGAGGAAGTTTGTGATTAGCCAGATAGGAAGCAGGCAGAAAAAGGGCAAGACTTTTTTTTCCTAATGCAAACACCATGTGTTGGAAGTAAATACTGCCACATACCTGCCACCGGCTCAGGTGTGAAGGGCTGGTTGAAGCCCTGCTCCCACTCAAAGAGCACCTGGTTGTCCAGATCCTCCTCCTCAGGGTTGCCTTTGCCTGACAGAGACGGCGCTGTGGTGGTGGCCCCAGAGTGAATACCTGAATCCAGGTAGGACTGCTGCTGCCAGTGACTCACAGCGGCTTTACGATCCTGCTCCATGGCCATATCAAGCTCCATAAGGTCAGCTACAGGACATAATACATCAATGTCAGACATTCAATTTAAAGTTCTTCCAGACAGAATGTTTTTTTAGTCTACTCTAAAGTCTCATGATCATGCAATATTCCTACACCTCATTGAATTTGCAGTTAAGATATTGCATATTTCAACACCTGCAGCTGCAATGACCTCTATTAAAAGCATTGCAGCTATTTTTTATTGCCATATCAGCAAAGGCTATATTCATAAATAAGTTCTACACCATTACAATTAGGACTTCTAGTCTGAAATTAACTGTGGTTAACTTATAACTAAACTGAAACCTTAATTTTAAATGCAAAATTTGGAAATGCTATTCCAATTCCATAGCAATACAAACAGCATTTAGTATTCTTGGCGATATATTGGGTCTGTGAGGGTTAACCGAAATCATTCAGTAAATAAACCTGTTCTTTATCAGCTCATCTGTGTTTGTGTCTGCGTCAAGCAGCAGTCATTGGACAAACATGCTGATAAACTGACAGGTTAACTTAGAAAAACACTCACACTGGGTAGCCATCGTTGCGTCAATCCCTCAGCCTGAGCGACGTCCAAACCTGTAGAAAAAAAATAAATAATTAAACCGATAAGGACAAAAACTACATAACAGAACTAGTCAAGCATAGAAAGGTCAAGAAAGAGCTCCATTTTACAAATTAGCAGCAACATTTGTCTATTCCCCCCTCAGACACACCCTTTACAAGCGAGAAAGAGGCTTTAAGCTACATTACAGACCCTAAAGGTAGTGTTAACTGTGGGAAACTCCCCTCATTTAGTCTGTAGGGTGTCACGCGAGAAGTCGAGAGAGGGAGACAGGACGATGAGTCATCTTGGCAATGCCAGTAAAAACATGCTGAGGGGGTTAGTCAGCTTCATTCATCCAAAGCTGATGAGAACAATACAGCATCAAGCACCACAAATTATGCGATTATAAACAGCCCGAGGACATGAAACCAACACCGATCTTAAGTTGCTATTTGGATCTCAACTTTTAAAAAAATCAGATTTACCCGTTTCGCTATTAATGCGGCACATTTCACTATAGGTTGCAGACCATTATTCTGGGATAATGGGATAGACCCAAATTACGAGAAAAAAAAACAAGCAACAAGTTTCACAAAAATGTGTAATCAAATTGTCCTTTTTAGGTTATAAATAATCAGCCATTAACTTACAGGTGACTCGAGCTGAAAACTCTCACCCGACTGTATATTCAGGGGGTGGGGAGTTTAGATCACTACAGAAACAGATATGTAATTTGCAAGCAACTGAAAAACAATGAACATACCCTAACATGTAGGGTCACACAGAAAGGAAATGATTACAAGAAAACAAAAGTGCATGAAGTAAATACTAAACCACCAACTAGACTATTTACAATTTACCAAACCACCAACTAGACTATTTACAATTAAGCATGAATTATTTAAAATGCAAAAAACAACAAAAAACAACAGACCTTTCCTAGGGGTATTTACACGAGACACATTCTTGTTCAAAAGCAGCTGGATGGAGTGCAACAACTGAACAGAACACAGGGACCTCAAGACAGATTAAGAAGTTGGACTATTTTTAACTTGACACACTGTCGAAAAATGCAACCTTCATGTTGCAAGATGCTTAAGTGTAAATGACTGCGATGTTTCCAAGAGGTTTTTACGTGACAGAATGCTGACAGCATTAATCTGTGCTTTAACTGTTATTTAAAGAATGGTACAGCAAGAACAAAAAAACTGCATGGTTTTTAGTTGACCAAAACCTTGGGTCAGTAAGCTTTTGTAATGGTTTTATAAAGTAGTCGCTTATGCTTACTAAGGCTGCATTTATTATATTGTGATTCCATGTTACTAGTATTACAATAAAAAATTTTTAAAAAGTGTCTTATTTTAATCCATTTTAAAATTAGATTTCTTCCTGTAATGGTAAAGCTGAAGACTGGAGCAATGGCTGCTGAAAATTAAGCGTTACGTGATCCTTCAGAAATCATTCTAATATGCTGATTTGGTGCCCAAGAAACATTTCTTATCAATGTTAACAGTTGTGCTCTTTAACATTATTGTGGAAACTGATTAATTTTTGTCAGGATATTTTGAATAGAAAGTTCATTCATGTATAGAGGTCGACCGATATGGGTTTTTTACTGGCCAATGCCGATATTTAGAAATCAGGGCAGCCGATGGCCGATATATGATGCCGATTTTTTGGGCCAATATTTTTGCCAATATTTTTTTTTTTTCTATCTCATAAAAGTGAGTTTGTGTAAATGATTATTGCAGGGTACAAGATAGTAATAGTAGTAGTAGCCTAATTCAGAGTAATAATACATGGCTCAAAACTTAAGCACCTTCTCAAAACAGTTCTGAAGCATGCTTTTTGTTTATGTTTGCTGACAGACACCAGTGTTTCCCACAGACTGGCAAATGAAAATTCATTCTCTGCCAGCAGGAGGCGCTGTTGGAGTGAGAGATATAGCAGTTTCCCCGGTAACGGCTGTAATCAAATAAGCACTGTGCTCAGTCACAAACACTACTTTATCAGGCATTACATGAAAGACTAGGGATGCACCGAATGTTCGGCAACCGAAATTATATTTCACCGAATAAGCGAAAAGACCGAATAAATTGTACCGAACAAAGATATGACGCGATCAAATAGCAACCAGCGCACTTTTTAATTTATGCAATGGTGAAAAAAAATTGGCAAAATACATGGGGGGAAAAACTCGAAAAACCGTGTTCGGTATTCGGCCAAGTGTTTAATTTTGTTCGGTTTCGGCTTCGGCCAAGAATTTTCATTTCAGTGCATCCCT